TGTGTGTGTGTGTGTGTGTGTTGTGGTGGGGGGAGTGCTTTTTCCTCTCTCTCTGGCAAGCATGTGCCCTCTAGCAAATTAAAAAAAAATCATAGCCACTAGAAAAGTTAAAAGTTTATATGTGACTTGGTTTATATTTCTAATGGACACAGCAGTTCTGGGACCTAAGAATAATATTTTCAGGATTTCAGAATCATGAAATTGTGGCATTTCAGAACCTTAATATGACAGGGAAAAAAAAAAAAAAAAACAGGGACCAGCAATGGCATAATGGTCATGTCACTGGACTCCCATGTGGCTGACCACGGTTTGAGTCCTGGACTGGAGGGCTTCAAACTCACATTAGGTGCATATGCATGTGTACCCAAAATCCCAAGAGGAGAATGGAGGAGAAGGGACTGTGACATAGCCATCCCTCCTGGGGGGGTGATTGCTCACTTTCTGTCTCTCTCTGTCTCTCTGGTGAGTGCACATGCCCTATAGCAAAAATCTCTCTCTCAAAAAAAAAAAGTTTATTAATTTCTCCAGGGAGAGAGAGACAGACGCACCGCCAACGGCGACCCCATGCCATGATCCACTCCTATCTCAGCCGGCTGGGCTCACAGGCACACATGCACTTGGTGTGCTTGGGGAGGACTCAGTATGCAAACCCAGGACCTTTTCCATGTGGATTCAGTTGCATTATCAATGTACCACCACCTAACCCCAAATAACAGAATTTTATTTTATTTATTTTATTTTTTAAAATTACCAGATTGTGTGTGTGTGCTCACCAGAGATAAGAGACAGAGAGATGAGGGGCAGAGAAGCAACTCCCGATGGAATGTGGTCATACTGCAATCCCTTCTCCTCCATTTCTCATTCTGTTGGGACTTTGGGCATGCACTCACAAGTACCCACTGTGTTTTTCAAGCTGCTGGGGCCGGGAGTCACACTGTAGTCAGCCCTCTGAGATCCAGCTCCCTTAACCAGTAGGCTACAGGGCTAGACCCACATGAATTTTAGAACCAGATTTCCAGATCTTTACATGGCTGACTTTGAATTTTAGACATGAGTTCCCAGCTCATGAAGGAGTCTAAGAAGAATCCTGGTCCATCCTTTACCCAAAGCAGGGTTTCCTCCAGCCTACCATGGCCAGCACCACCCAGACTCTGGCTCCCCCTTCCCTTCACCTGGTGGAGAACTCACCTAAGGCCACTGGGCTTTTGCAATGATTAGTGAGGTTCTCAGTGTTGGATGGGACCTTCTTTCCACAGTTTCTTCCACTCTCATGGTAGAACTCTCATGGAACACCATCTTCTGGGACCTCACAGGACAAATCTGCACCATCCTCCCTGGGAAGGTGGAGAGTCTGGGTCATGTCCTCCCCCTCCCAGGCCCTGTCCTGTAGGCTACAGGGCCTACCTGACACCTGTCCCTACAGGTGGGTGTCAGCCCCTGCCCTCCCTGGGCCCCTTAGCTCCTGATGACCAGCTCTGCTTCCCCAGCCTTCAGAAGAACTGTTCCTGAGACCCTGGTCATGGAGCAGGAGTCTTTCCAGCATCTCCCAACTTGTAGATTATTCTGCCCCTCCGAGAGCGGAGGCCAGAAGGCACTCAGAAGGGACTGTATGCAGGATACTGCATTACAGCTGGGCTTGAAGGGGTTGTGGGGTGGTGGAAAGAAGGCCACTCTGGGCAGAGGATGCTGGACACACACACACAGCCCCTTCCCAGACCTGGAGAGTCCCAGGCTGCCTGGAGTACAGGGTTAGAGAGTGAAGGTGGGAAGGCTGGCTGAAGGCAGCCTGGGAGTGTGTCTGGGGATTTGTGTGTGTGTGTGTGTGTGTGTGTGTGTGTGAGAGAGAGAGAGAGAGAGAGAGAGAGAGAGAGAGAGAGAGAGCCTATGTGAGCTATGGGGAGTATTGGGTAAAAATAACAGTCGTGACCATCACTCTGCCAGCCATGTTACAACGTAGTTTCCTAATACTTCATTTAGTCCTCTCGGCATCCCTGTGCAGGTAAGTACTGTTATGCTCATTGCACAAATGAACAGTTGAAGCCAACGTAAACAACAGTGAGGGCCGAACTGGATTCCGGCAGGATAGTCTGACATCAAAGTTCTTAAGGACTGGGTAGAGGGTAGGGTTGTAGGAGAAGGGAAGTGTGTGTGTGTGTGTGTGTGTGTGTGCATGTGTGGTATGCATGTGTGTGATATACAGAGCATGAGTGTGGCTGTGTGCTGTATGTGTACTGGGGTGGGGTGGGGGGATATCCCTGCCATTTCCCCACCCCCCAGCTCATTCTCCGGACAGACTCAGCTCAGACAGGTTGGAGTGAAGAGAGGGCCTTGGAATGACAAGAATGCCCATGCCTGTTGGAGCAGATAGCCCCAGACAAGGGGCCAGCCACCATGCCAGTCTCAGACCAACTGCCCCAGGGTCAGCACTGCCCCCTCGCTGACCAGGCTGGCTTCTGGCCAGGGCCCAGGAATGGCATCTGGACTGGACCCTGCATGCTTGCCTTGTTGGTGCCACCCCCTTCCCAGCCTCCATTACACACAAGCTGAGCAATGAGGAAGGCTGACAAGGGCCCTCAGGTCTCGCCCCGGCTCTGCTACCAACTACTGGAGATCTAGATGGGCCCCTCCTCATTCTTGCGCCTCAGTTTCCCTGTTCCTATACAGAGGAGAATAGGATTAGTTCAGGAATCTTAAACTCTGATGCCAACAGGGCCAGGAGAGTAATGCAAATAAAGAAAGTGGGGTGTGTGTGTGTGTGTATGGAGGGGTGGGGACAGAGAACTGGACAGCAACCTCCAGACCAAGTGACTTTGACCAGCCCTTCCTGCAACACTTACTAGGAGACTGGATTCCACTGCAAAGGTCCCAGAACCCCACACTGGCCACTTAACCTTTCAACCTCAATTTCTCTGACTAGAAAATGGCATTTGTAAAGCCTGCCCCAAGTCCTACTGCACAGGAGTGGTGAGGGTGAGCTGGAGTGACGGATGGGAATCAGTGTGGAGAAACCTCCCCCTCTTTTCTTGGGTAATCTAATCTTTGATTTGAGTGACATTGAAAGTGTTACTTCCAATGTGAACAGAATCACAGATGAGCATGTCAGATGGCAGAAGGCTGGATAGGAAATGGCTTGGGGTGAGGAAAGGTCGAAGCAGAGCCCCTCTGACCAGCAGCAGAAGGGTTTGGGAACACGCAACTTGGATGCTCTTCACACCTGCGTCCAGACTAGCCCCGACTAGCTGAGCTGTCCTTGCTGTTTGCCCAGCCTGGAGTTGGTCCTGCCTCCGGGGGTTTTGATAATGGACATTCAGAGACCACTTGTGCTTGGGAGTTCTCCTTTCCTTATGTTGTAATCAGTGCATTATAATGAACTCCACAAAAGGGGAAATTAACCAATTTCTATTTGTTTGCAGAAGGCTTTATCTTCTCTGGGTGCAGATTTTGAAATCTTTCACTCTCCATTCCCATTCTCTAGGTCAAGTGAAACTCCCCAGGGACTTGAGGGAAGTCGGGCAGGTGGTTGACGATCTGTGTTCAGCTGTGTTCAGCTTGCTCTCTGCAGGGGATCTGCTAAGGTTGGCAATCCTCTGTTTCCTCTTCTACAAAATAGAGTGAAGGATCTCCACCGTGCCTACCCTCTCAGGCTGCCCTGGGGTCCGTAGGAATTAGTGCATAGAAAGAGAAAATGCATGATAAAAAACAGAAAAAGTGCTACCGAAAAAGGTATTGTGCTTGCTGCTCTGAGAGCCACCCTTCCTCCCAGGCGGCTCCTGAGAGCAAGGGAGAGTCTGGGGGAGGCATGACACATGCATCCTTGGGCTCTGCTTGAAACAGGAAACCTGGCTCCTGAGGTGGGACTGCTTTGTAAACCAGCTGGAAGTGCTCTTCAAACAGCAGTGTCACTGAAGAAAGAGCTGGTGTGTAGCAGGGAAGGGTGGGAGGGAATCCCGTACAATCCAGGAAGAGAAGCATAAAACCCAGGTGGTCGTGGGCCCTGGGCACTGGGAGGCAGGATTTGTAGTGACAAGCAGTTCATCTTCCAGCTGGATGGACCCGGGTCTGCAATGTCTTCTGCTCCTGTGTGGCCTTGGGGAGTTGCTTCACTTCTCTGAGCTTCATACTCTCTGAGTTGCCGAGGGGACAGACAGAAAGCAGGTATCAGGCACTAGCGTCATTGATTACTGTTAACCCCCACACCCTAATCCCTCATCTCAGGCAGTCTTTATTCCCTAGAACATTTTATACCCATTGTCCACCTGAGTCTTGGATAAACTGCCCATTTTACAGATTTTCTCCTTCTTCTGTTTAACAGCAAGGTCTGCCAGGAAGCACACAGTCCTTCCCTTGAAAAGTTCATGGTGTGTGCACATGCGCACGTGCACGAGAGAGAAAGGAGGGGAGAGGAAACTGTTACACCATGTGGTCAGTGCTGTAATTATGGCGACCGTGTTCTCAGACCGCAAATCAGGTCACGTGGTCTACCAGAGGCTATTTTCTGCCTCTACTGAAGTCCAAACATGAAATCACATGTAGTTACACATTTATTGAGTCACTTTTTATTTTTTAAAGAAGTAAATGACATAAAATTTGGATTGTCCTTGGCAAATCCCTTTCCATTGCCTGAAAATCACTAGCGCTGTGGCTGGGGCCCCGTAATGACCTGCTGTTGGAGAGATGGGCAGCTGGCCGTAACCCTGAGGGTGAAAGGAGAGAGGGAGATGAGAAGTGCAAACAGGAGGCCTGGTGTGGGTCAAGGACTTCGGGGAAAGCCCCAAACAGGAGGCCTGGTGTGGGTCAAGGACTTTGGAGAAAGCCTGGGAGTTTAACCTGAGACCCAAAGGATCCCAGTGAATCACTGAGTTAACATTTATATAGTGCTTATCCCGTACAGATAACGCACTAAGGGCTTTGCATATTTAACTCATTGAATTCTCAGGACAGCCCTCAGAAGGACATACTCATTATCCACACATTAGAGAGGAGGAAACCCAGCACAGAGAGGGTGAAAAACTGGCCCGAGGCTACAGAGTTTACATGTGGCAGAGTCAGGATTCAAACCCAGGAGTCCAGCCCCTGATGTGGAGTTGGTCAGGTAAAGGGAAGGTGGGGTATGCCATTTAGGACAAAGAAATGAGGAAACAAACAGTTCCACCCCAGAGCAGTAAGAAGCCATTGCTGGTTTTAAGTAGGACATGGGCACAAGGAGGTTGTTTTAGAGGCAAAGAGGGAGGAGGGAGAGAACAGTGAAGAGGCTGTTAACCTGGGTCAAGGCAGAGACAATGGTGGCTTGGGCTGGAGTGGAAGTGATAAAGAAGGGGTTGGGTTAGAGAAAAAAACCGGATGCAGGACCAGTGGGACTGGGTCACGGATGGGATGCCAGACAAGGAGGTGCTGTGGGGTTTCTGGATTAGACGGGTCAATGGGGCACACGGGAGGAAGAAAGAAGCAGGTTTGGAAGGAAGATGGTAAGTCCAGCGTTGGGCTTGCTGAGTTTGAGTTGACTTTGGGACAGCCAAGGGTGGTGTCAAGTGGGAATAGGGACCACCCGGGACTGAGAAGGGTCTGGGAGTGGGGCCGCACAGCCCAAAAAAGGCCCTGAGGGGAGGGACGAGCAGGGCACCCTCATGGGCAGTCTTCCTTAGAGCCTTGCATGGCATGGTGGAGAATCTTCTCCAGACAGCCCACCACTCCAGCCTAGACTCAGAGCCAACTCCCTGGGCGGGGCCTGCACCTGGTCTCGTACAGGCTTGCTGGGCGACAGAAAGCCTGAAGGCTTTGGGCCCAGTCAGTGAACAACCACTTTGAAGACTCAAAAAGAGTAGGAAGAGTGGTCAGAGAGGTGAGTTACCCCAGCTCACAGGCTGCCCCCAAATGCTGAGGGCAGGCCTGCTTTGGATCTGCAGCCTCACCGGTGAGGTGCTGGCTCTGACTCAGCTCAGGCAGAGGGTGACTCTTTGACTTGACAGGCTGCATTGCTCCTGGTGCTTCTTGTCCCCTCCATGCTTCCCTAGGTGACTCTTGCCACCTCCCTCACCTGCTCGCGGCCTTCTCACTTCTCCAGGCCTGCAGAGTAAGGTCCAGTCCGTGGAGCCGTTCACATAGGTCACTCATCACCTGTTCCCGACCCTCCTCACCAGGTTTCGTGTTCATTCTATTCTTCCTGTTTCCGTTGTCCCTCCTCCCCCTGCACCACTCAGCTTTTCCTAGGGCCTTCCTGTGCGCCTTTGTATGTGGAAAGTTCCTTATGATGGGAATGTCAATCTCTCCACCCTATCCCACCGATTCTTCCTGACCCTGTGTGGGGCTGCCTCCCCCAAAGCTCCCTCACTTTGCTCCCTACTTCCTTGGAGCCACAGCATTGGCCCCTTACCTCTCCCGCAGGCTCTCCGCCGGGCCAGCTTTGGGATACAGTGAGGGATATGCAGGTCGCCTCCAAACAAGGCTGGGCACTTCTCTAGAATACAGACCCACGTGACTTCCAGCTCTGCATCTTCCTCACCAGGAGCGGTGTCAGGGCCTCGTGCAGATGGACCAGACCTTCCAAAGCAGAGATTAGCATTGGTAGGATTCTAGGGGTTTGACCCAGGCCATCCTCAGGGACTTTACATAACTGAGCACAGGACCATGGACTACCAAGGAGAATTTACTTGCTGGTCTCCATTGGCTTCTCTGCTCCAGTAGGCAGATGGCTGGGACATGTACCAGGAAGCCACAAGCCTATCTGTGTGTGCATGGGGTGGGGGTGGGGCCTGCATTTTGGGCTGTGGCAGCCACCATTAGGCTTGGTCCTGTCTAACTGTACCCCATCCAAAGGGGTCGTCCCATAGACACCTATGAGAGTCCGATGCCTGGGCCCATCCCCCAGCCTCTCTCTGTTCAGGCCCTAACATCTTCCCTTCTTTGAAACATGAGTAACTGACAGCTCCTTCCCCCCAGCACCAGGAAGTTCTCCTTTGGGAGAAGCAGGGTGAGTCTTTTACCCTCCTTTGTCCAGCTTGGCTTCTCTAATACTCCTTGTGTTGCTCTGGTTGTTTATGTATGTTCTGAGCTGTATTCCTACAGTTAGAGAATCCTGAGCCATTGGATGAAGGCCCTAGGAGTCTGCCGACCCTGTTTTCCAAATTCATCCCCACTTGCCCCTGACCCAGGGCATCGGGATCTCCAGGGGAGGGCCCTCGCTCGCTCTCTGCACTATCTGCAAGCTCGCTAAGGGAGGCGCTGGTCCTACATGGCCTCCTCCTTTGCCCAGGCTGGCAGAGCATCCTCAGCTGGGAGCAGTGAGAGCTGAGGGCCACCCCAGGCTCTGGGCTATGCAGGAGCCCCCCACACTTCCCCAAGGTGGTCTGGTCTCCCTGGGCCTCGTGATTCCCTTCTGTTTAATGGGGACGGCCAGTGTAGGCTGAACTAACCCAGGGGCCCTGGGCTGGTGTGATAACACTGGGGGTGGGCACCCGGCTCAGTGGGAGAAGAGTGCACAGGTCATCTGCCTCTTCGTCTGCCTGTTCCATGCCAGGTCAGGGACTGAGCTGGGAACAACTTGTTGGGAGAGATGACTTTCTAGTGAACAATGAAACCAGTAAATACACCAGAGAATGGCCATAAGGAAATAAAGGGGTTTTCAGAGACAGGGCAAAGGGGTGAGTGTGTGTGTGTTTGCGTGTGTGTTGTGGAAGAGGGAGCAGAGGCTGCCCAGGAAAGGGTCACTCGGCAGAACCTGGTTGACAGCAACCATTTGAGGAAGCCTTGGAGGATTGTCACTAGCCCAGTGGTGGTCGGGCCGGGAAGCCCACTCCGGCCCAGCGAGGGCACTCCCACCGCCCTCGGAGGCGCGGCAGGCGCGGGTCTTTGTCTCCCTGGTTCTCTCTGCTGCCTCTTTCGACCCCCAGTGCTGTTCCTTTTCTGACCCCAAATAACTTGTTGGTTGCCCCCCCGGGTTTTGTTTCCCCGGAGTCACCACCTCCGAGACGCCCAGCAGCCCCACTGGGCCCTCGTGGGTCCCGCGTCTGACACCCCCTCCGGCCCCAGCCCCCTACCCGCTCCGAGACAGGGGTCAAAGGCAGCTCGCGTCACGTGGTCGCCGAGCAGCACCGAATCGGCCGGGAGAGCCGAGGGAGAATCCGGGTGGAAGCCGAGAATCCAGCCTGATAGCAGCGCCTCTGCCCTCTGCCCTAGCCTCCGGAGCCAATCTCCGGCCGGCACCCACGCGCCATCACGGGATCGAACCCCGCTCCCAGCGGCCGCGATTCGGGAAGGTAGGGGCCGAGCCCGGCAGGAGAGGGTAAGGGGAGACGGACTGGGGGGCCCTCGGCACGCCCCTCTGTGCTCCGCGGGCTAGAGGAGACGAGCCCAACTTCCAGTCTTCAGGGAGACCCCCTCCCCGCCGTGGGACAAGGGGAGAGGCTGCGAGCTGCCCCCGCGCTGTGCCGGGCCGG